AGGACCTTAGGTATTTTGTCGTCATTCATCCTTGCAACATCACCAACCTAGAGGATTTATGACTGCCCCAGGAAGGTCTCGATGGTACCAATGTTGAATTTTGTGAGGAGATCGGAATTGAACATCCTATCGTCAAAAGTAAAGCCACAGATCGCGCGGAGACAACTTTTGTGGAAGACATCAAGCTGATTGATATGCGACGTATATGGGGTTCACATTCCTGAGCCATACAGCTGTGTGGTCAAAACGGCTACTCTATAAACCCGCATTCTGTATCCAATATATATATATATATATATATATATATATATATATATATATATATATATTGATGCATGTTTCATTAAATAATATAGACAAGTTATATTTTAAGTAAGTTCCTTTCATATTATCAGTTAAGCTTAAGAACATCATCATTGAAATAAACTACAAAATGTCCACAAATATTCATAAACGCCGATAATTGATAACAGAAGCCATTGGTTTATACCAACGGCTTCCGATACCTAATACTTCTCGTTTTTCACTCACGCGTGGTCATGTGGTCATGTGGGACGTCGCGAGCTGCGACGCGATTTTCGCTTCTGCGTCTCGTATACACGAGTTAGTTGTAATTTTTCATGCAACAAAAACAGACTGCCATTATTGTTTCGTCCGTCTATTGCTTGATATATTGAAAAGTAACTGTCATCTTTGATAATGGCTTATGTAAGCCGAAAGCTTAGATCGGATTTAAACATGCATCAATATGGTGATTTCCATTCGTCTTTCAATGATAATGTTATTAAGCTTATCAGACAATATGAAAGGAACTTACTTAAAATAGACAAAACTTGTCTATGTTATTTAATGAAACATGCATCAATGAAAAATTGCTGCCTCAATATATATATATATATATATATATATATATATATATATATATATATATATCCTCTTTCCTCAATTTCCAACATTAGGAATAGTGTGAGAGACATGGTCATGTTTAGAGAGAGAAGGGAGAGTTTTAAAATTTATTTTTATTTTCATTACAATGTCAGGCTCATTAAGTTCTTATCTCCGCGTCGTATGTGATATTTCAGTCCCGCTAGTGGCTTGCATACCACTCCAAATATTGTTCAACAGCGAGTACCTCGAGACATAGCAACAGGGATATTTTCTGAACCATTTCGCCGTTGTCATTCGTCTCTCAAAATTTCTGATACCACTCCGACACGAATATCTCCAGTTTCTATCCAAGGCAACACACTGGAAGCTAGTGTGAGGCACATTGACAGCTGAGAGGTTACTCTTTGGCTTGTCTTTATATCTCAACCAAAGCCGTTCATTATTCTTTTGTCCGCTGTGAAGCTGGCTATACCTGAGGACCTTAGATATTTTGTCGCCATTCATCTTTGCAACATGACCAAACTAGCGAAGTTATGACTGCCCCAGGAAGGTCTCAATGGTAACAATGTTGAATTTTGTGAGGAGATCGGAATTGGACATCCTATCGTCAAAAGTAAAGCCACAGATCGCGCCGAGACAACTTTTGTGGAAAACATCTAGCTGACTGATTGGTATGGAGTTCCCAATTCTAAGCCATACAACTGTGTGGTCAAAGAGCCGCTCTATATTTTTGTGTTCTATATTTTATATATATATATATATATATATATATATATATATATTCACAATTTGCAACATTAGATTTTTCCTTTTCTCTCTTGTCCATAGTTTTGGATTAAAATCACCAGTCAGAATGTCGCAATTTATTTCACCCTATCGAAAATATTTTTGATGCCGGTGTAGAACATTTCAGTTATCTCACTAAATCTTTGAATGTTGGCTGCTCATTAGCTTTCTTTATATCTGAGCCACGGCCGTCCAGAACTCCTTCGTTCACTGTAAAGCTGGCTATACATGAGGACCTTAGGTATTCTGTCGTCACTCTTCCTTGAAACATAAGCAGCCCAGCGAAGTTGTGACTCCATCAGGAAAGTTTCAATTCCACCATATATATATATATATATATATATATATATATATATATATATATATGTATGTATATATATATATATATATATATATGGTGGAATTGAAACTTGGAGATGTAAGTTTTATGTATATAAGTTTATGTGCACGTATGTGTATGTCCGTATGTATATATGTGTGTAAATGTATATATATATATAGGAGTGGATGTGTATGGATGTATGTGTATATGTATGTATGTGTGTGTGTTTATGTATGTATATGTATGTGCATGTGTATGCATGTGTATATGTATATATATATATGTATATGTACATGAATATAAATATATGTGCATATGTGTACATGGGTATATGTTTGTGTATGTGTGTACACGCTTATATGTATGTATGTACGTGTATATGTTATTGCGTATGTGTGTATACGCATGTGTTTTTGAACATAGAAATATAGGTCCTTGTTAGATTAGATAATCGTTATATTTATTTTTTATGTTTATATTTGATTTGTAGCCTGTAGTCGATATTAATTTTGTCAAATTTTATTAATTATACAGCGACCCTTTTATAAATGCCCTTTAGTTTTAGTTTCCCCCGCCCCATCTCTCTCCTCCATCCTTTTTTCTTTTCTTTTCCTCTCCCTCCCTCTTCTTCTGATCTTTAAGATTAGATCGTCTATTGTGTGTGTATGTCACCATAAAATGTATCCTTTCCGGTTACATCTTTAATCTATTAGACATCCGACAACATTCATATTTCTCTCACTTAAACCGTCTTTGACTCACCTCTTTAAAACTTCTCTCTGTTAAGTTTTAATCTCCCACCTTCCCTCGTCTGTTACCCCTCTCTTTAGCTTTAACATTCGTCCCACACTCTCAGACTTACACTCTCTCTAAATTTTTTTTTTATTTCCGGAGTTGTTTTTTCTGTTTTCTTTTTAAATTTGTAGGTCTGATGAATTGGATCGTATTTACGATTCCAATGGAATAAATTATGACCATGGAATATCAGTGTTTAAGCCTTTTTATTATATCCTTACTCTGTCCTGGACATTGAGTTCTACCTGGATTCTTCCTCTTGGAGTTTTTTTTTATACAAATTTATATATATGCGCATGTATGTATGTATATATATTTTGCATATGTATGTGTATATTTACCACTAATATTATCAATATATATATATATATATAAACAGTATTACTCGCTTGAAAAACCTCGGATGACTCAACTTGTAGACACCTGAGGGCAAATTGGTACCCGAGGACAAAATTGGAAGTAAAAAAAAGATAGATTTAAAAACATCAGAACAAGGCGAGAAAAATCGTCAAGTGTCTTAAGTCCTTAGTCCAAAGAAAAAAAAAAACAAGTTTAATGACTAAAACATACGCTAAGTAGAGCGGTAAATTAGAATAAATCCTAAATTGATAAAACAATTAAAAACATAAAACCATATTTGAAGAAATATAGTCTTAAGGTGTGCTATATTTATGGGATAAAGTGCTCAATATGATAGATAGAGCGTGTGTAAATATAAAAGTGAACATAGAAGTCAACACTTAGTGGCGACAGTCTGTTTCATGCTGGACGCAATCGCCAGGCCACGTGTGCTGTTATTTTTCTCGGCTATTTATATATACGGGTCAGTGGTGCATTGTGGGTAGTCTATTTTGGCGGTTATTTTACCGGAAGTCGTTTATTTGTTTATATATATATATATATATATATATATATATATATATATATATATATATATAAAAGTGAACAGATTGCGTCAATGAAACAGACTGGCGACAGTCTGTTTTTCTTTTATATATATATATATATATATATATATATACATATAGATTGTGTGTGTGTGTATATATATATATATATATATATATATCCCTGACGAGTGGACGGTGTGATTCCAGGATGATTTGTACAATAAAAAATCACATCCCTGAATGACGTCAAAATCCGCGACAATTTTTTATCCTTTAATAGTCAGTTGTGCTTAATTTCATTTTAACACATGTGTAGGTAGAGAAAAGCAAATGTTGATAAGATGGCGAGGGTCAGGAACACTGTCCGGGGTTCCCAATCAAGCTTACCCACCTCCCTTTCGGTTGAGAAGTTCGGCAGTAGTATGCACCGGATCTGTTACCAACAAACCCTTTCTTTACTGGAATAGAATAAAATACATATGGTGGGCAAGTGAATGACAAATTAAAACTGTCTTGAAAGACCCGTTTCGTTCCACTTTTGATTTATCTATGATTAAAGATCATTTAGCGCCATTACTTCCGGTTCTCTATTTTCATGTGTTCACGTATTAGTTCGTGTCGTCACAATAGCGCTCTATCATATAAAATCTAAGAAAAGAACGCAACAACTAGAAGCAATAAGCATATATATATATATATATATATATATATATATATATATATATATATAAAACATTATAAATATATACAATACTAACCTCTCATAGTTAGCACTACCTCTGCGCCTTGCCAATTCCTCGTAAATAATGAACTATTCCGTTTCGATCGCGTAGAAACACGGAAAAGACATATCAGAGGCTCTACTTGGTTTCAACGAGAAAAGGAAAGAAGGACGTGTTTAACGACTGTCTCAGTGAAATGGAAAGACATCTTCAATTTTGAATCTTTTTATTTGTACCCTCTTACGTCTTTAAATAATAGCTACATTTATATTTATAATTGTTATTACAATATTTTGTTAAAGTTGTTAAGCCCAAATATTTAACGATGCAGTAGGGAATTTGATAGTTGTGAAACTCAGAAGGAACTTACTCAATAATTAGTGAAAGAAATATGAGTGATCCGAAAATTAAAATATGGAAACCGTATAATGGTATATCAAATGATTAGAAAGAAAGAAAGAAAGAAAGAAAGAAAGAAAGAAAATCATGAGAAATTAAGAAATAAAGGAAGAAAGAAAGAGAAAACATGAGAAAGAAAGAAGAAAGAGAAAACGTGATATAGAAAAGAAGAAGGACGGATACAAAGAAAGACAATACATGAGAAAAAAGAAAGAAAGAAAAACATGAGAAATAAAGGAAGAATAAAAGATAAAACAAAAGAAAGAAAGAAAGAAAGAAAGAAAGAAAGGAAGGAAGGAGAAAGAAAGAAAGAAAAACATGAGAAAAAAATGAAGACTAAAAGATAAAACACAAGAAAGAAAGAAAGTAAGAAAGAAAGAAAGAAAGAAAGGAAAGAGAAAGAAAGAAAGAAAAACATGAGAAATAAAGGAAGAAAAGAAGATAAAACGCAAGAAAGAAAGAAAGAAAGAAAGAAAGAAAGAAAGAAAGGAATAAAAGAAAGAAAGAAAGAAAGAAAGAAATAGAAGAAAGGAAGGAAGACAGAAAGAAAGAAAGTAAGGAAAAAGAAAGAAAGAAAGAAAGAAAGGGATAAAATAAGAAAGGAAAGAAAGAAAGAAAGAAAGAAAGAAAGAAAGAAGGAAGGAAGGAAGGAAGAAAGGAAGGAAGGAAGGAAGGCAGGAGGGAAGGTAGGAAGGAAGAAACAAAGACAAACACGTGAAAGAAAGACTAAATAGAGAAAGCAATTGAAAAAAGTGGTTGTAAAAGTCTCTAAAAGGAACAGGTAGAGTGAGAAATATCCTTAGAAATTCTGAAGTAGAAAATCTTGGTAAAAAGAAGGCAGTAGCTAGAATGGAGCCAGAGAGAGAGAGAGAGAGAGAGAGAGAGAGAGGAGGGAGGGAGGGGAAGGAAGAGAAAGAAAGCAATAATGAAAAAGAAAATACAAGAGAGAGAGAGGGGTAGGGAGAAAAAATAGGTGGTGGAGAGAAAAGCCCTTAAGAACTTGTCTTTGTGTCTAAGGGCCTGTCTTGTTAGTATTTAGCATGAAGACTTAATAAAACCTCTGATGTTGGTGAGTACTGCCATAGCCGGCGGGAAGATCAAAGTATCAAACAGTATGTGGTCATACCACACAGACGATACAAACGAGAATATATGGACGCGTATGAGTATATGTGTGTGAGACCATTTCTCCCATATACAATTGTACATACACACACACACACACACACACACACACACACACACACACACACACACACACACACACACACATATATATATATATATATATATATATATATATATATATATATATGGTGTAAATCTATTTCGTGGTGAAAAAAACCTGGATAGCACAATTTTCAAACAAACTGGCAACCACGGAAAAAAATTTGAAAAAAAAAAAGCACGAAAAACCTCCAAACAGGGCGAAAAAATCATCCAGTACCTTAAATCTCTGGTATAAAGAAAAAAAAAGAACAGCGTGTAATAAGTTAAAATACGCTACGTAGAGCAAAAGTAAAATAAACAAATCCTAATGAACCAGGTACTACCTAACAAGGTTTCACGGTTTCATATATATATATATATATATATATATATATATATATGCTCCTGAAAAATTCATTTCGGTTGAGCTCTCTGGGGAGGAAGTGTGAGTTTGTAAACAGTGACTATTACTGCTAATAATGCAAGACTCTTCGGTAAATCGAATTGAGTTCTCTCAGTCACTGTATGTTTATCTAAAAATAAATACACTTAAAATTCACCTTCATCCCTGCCGTGCGCCAACGACTTAGTGGTAGAATCACCGACTGACGCCAATTCAATCGGGTTTCGATACTAGCTAGAGGCAACCGGATGTCTAGCCACACTGATGAGCTGTGATACAGCGAAACAGTCTGTCTGTGGATGACAATATATATATATATATATATATATATATATATATATTAAAGAAAAACAGACCACGTTAAGGTACCATTATGATAATTTATTTCACCTGGCCCTTTTAAAGGACGGCGGATCATCAAATAGCACTTCCCTCCAAAAAAACTTTAATTGATTTATTTAAAATGTTTTTTTTCGCTACACAGTTCTAACCATGTTTCAAAAATGGAAGCTAAAAGCTACGAATTTAATTTTGTAATTAAATTAAAGACATTGGTTCCATTTCATCCTCAAGCGAATTTTGGAGTAACTTTTTAAAATTACTGGGTTTTAAAGACACAGCTAAAATCATAATTCACGTTTCCAAGGTTACAGATAAATCTACTTCAATTAGACAAGGGGTGTCTGGGTGTTCATTATGTCTGTACTATATATATATATATATATATATATATATATTCAGTTACATGGGTAGTAGTATATCTGATTATCGCCTAAGCGTGAAAACCCGGGGTTACAAACTACTACACATGCAACTGAATATGTTAGCTCTATCACAGATATTGAGCACTTTCAACTAAGTTCCGCTCATATATATATATATACAGTGTAACCCGGATATAAGAGAGTTGTCGGGAGCGGAGAAGGATTCTCTTATATCCGGGTTTCTCTTATATCCGGGTTTGGTATATTTTATATACATTAACACAGGCTCTAATTTGGGACCAGAGAAAATCTCTCTTATATTCGGGTTTCTCTTATATCCGGGTCTGGTCTATTTTATATACATTAACACAGGCTCTAATTTGGGACCAGAGAAAATCTCTCTTATATCCGGGTTTCTCTTATATCCGGGTCTCTTATATCCGGGTTACACTGTATATATATATATATATATATATATATATATATATATAAGTAAACATTGAAGCCAATACTCAGAGGCAACAGCCTGTTTCATGCTGGACGCAATCGTCAGTCTGCAGATACTGGAATTTTTCCTCGGCATTCACGGCCTGACGATTTTTACTCAGTGTTCGTGGTCCGACGATTGCGTCCAGCATGAAACAGCCTGTCGCTTCTGAGAGTTGACTTCAATGTTCACTTTTATATTTATATTTACACGAGCTCTATCTCTGATATTGTCACTTTATCCCATAAATATACCACACCTTAAAACTATATTTTTCATATATATATATATATATATATATATATATATATATGGATGGATGGATGTATATGTGTAAATGCGTACACTCAGATGCACTTAAAAGCATACACGCACTTGGCCAAGCTCCACCACCAGCACCACATGCAGATATGCATGCGTAAACATCATCTCTCTGCAATCGCTTGCAGAAATGCGAAGCTGAATGCACCGACTGTCGTCTAGTTAAGCACCGTCGAACCTGGTCAGTAAATTATCTGGGTGACAGCTGCTATGCAGCATCAGATACGATAATCAGCTGATCATTTTGCGTCGTTCAAAAAAAGGTGCAAAATAAACTTAGTTTGACACGCAAAATAAATATTTATCCCCATTTTGCCTGTACCCCTTGTGGATGATATAAGTATTTTATATACCTGCAAAATAAGTAAACACCAGGTAATATCGGAAAATTGCAGGATTGTACGTACTGTGATTTACCATTCAAACTAAATGCAGTGCTCAATCTATAAATAGGCCTTGTATTATCTGATTGAGTCCTGTTATTACTCCAGATTTTGAAGAGTTTTGTTGGAACGGTTCTGCAAACTTTACGACGGCTGACAAATTCGAGCAACAGTCTTGCATTGAATTTGGTATTAATTTCGGTAAATTATCTACTCAAAAAAGCGACAATATATTAGTATATATAACAATATTATTGCAATAAATTACGTTATTTCATTATTATTAAAAATATTATTGCAATAAACTACATTATTTAATTATTTTTACAATAAATTATAGTATTTGTTACAATAATTTTTAATAATTTTATTAATATTCATTGAAATACGTTTGCAGTATATTACATTATCATTAAAATACTATTAAAATCAAACCGCATTATTTAATTATTGTTAAAATAGATTATTGTATTTAATTATTACAATATTATTAAAATAAATTAATATTTATCAAAATATTATTTTACTTTATTATATTTTTTATTATTAAAATATTATCAAAATTATTTCAACTATTTAATTTTTACAATGAATTACAGTGTTTAATTGTAACAATGTTATAATAAATTAATTTAATATTTATTTTTTGAAATGTCAACGAACACTCGTTGCCACTTTTGATATGTCAACAAATACCCGTTGTCACTTTGGTAATGCTCGTTGTAGTAGAGACTTTGTAATCGCAAATACAACTCATCGTAACGCCGTTGAACAATACTGGTATCAGACGCCTTCGAATAGCACTCGCACTAATAGTACTTGCGCGATAATACTCGCTCGAATAGTAACCTTCGAATAGTGATCCGAATAGAGAAATAGTATAGTGAATAGAGTAGAGAATAGCGGTCCGTATAGTAATAGAGGATAGAGAAGAAATAGTGATCAGTTAGACGCCACGCTAATTCCTATATACATTTCCTTTATGATCACGTGGTCTACTTATTAGAGATGGAATCACATGTTTGCTCACTGGTGATCTGTGTTCAAACTCCAGTGTCGGCAGCGACACTTTATTACAATATTATTACAGTAAATTATAATAATTTATTATTATTGCAATATTATTACAATAAACTGAAATGCGAAAATACATATATACTGACAATGTTATATCTGTCTATATTTCTGAGATGAGGTATTGTAACTATTTACATTATTTATATTGTTCAGACTGTTGACTTCATCTTTTTTGCCATATTCACGACGTTTCGGCCGTTGGACGCTCCGGCCTTCTTCAGGTAATATACTTTGGAATTTCAAGCAGAACCCTTTAAGGACACAGTGAATAAAAGCGTTGTTTGAAGTATACCAGTGAATTGACCCAAAGAGTTGTGAGTTCAATACCTGGCCACGGCAGAGATGAACAAATTCTTGGAGAGTTTAGTTACTAAAGGGAAATAAGTGAAATTTTGTGACTTCCTGATCCAGTTTTCCTCTCTAATGTTTTCTCTTTTTTTAAACTTATTCACCATTCTCTTGATGGTTCTTGAATGGACTTTGAAGATGGAAGCCAGAGTATGAATTACTGAAGGCCTGAATGATTTTTTCCTCTCACCATTGCTCAGTTGGGAAGACAGTGGGTCTGACACAAAACAATTTTAACCTGGTCTCTTTTTTTTTATGAATACCTCAAAAGGGTTTTTCGGGATTCTTACGACAAATGGAGCCAAGATCTCTAAACATCATATCTGAATACCTGGAAAAAAGAAACTTAATTAGTTCAGTGTTTTTTTAGAGATTAAACATTTTTGTGGGACGGATAATTATGCTGTTACACGATTTAGACAATTTTAATATCACAAATGGTCTTACCCCCCCTCTCTCTCTCTATATATATATATATATATTGTATATTTAAGCAAGATGTATATTTAAGCGAGTCGAGTTCAGTTAATGATAAAATTCGTTCAACAAACCCTGTCTTTAATATTTTAAACCATTTTTTCGATTTTTTATAAGTACATAGTTATAGTTACACGATTTGGACAATTCTGCTGTTACACCATATATATATATATATATATATATATATATATATATATATATATATATATATGTGTGTGTGTGTGTGTGTGTGTGTGTGTTTCGTTGAATAATTTAGACACGTTCTGTCTACTTATTTTCAGTTGGATCCTTTCATATTCAGGGATAAGCTTTTTGGTGTCATCATTGAAGGACAAGAGAAAATCGCCGCGTTGATAAATATTTCTTTTATTTCCGAGTACTTTCGACATCGCACAATGTCATCATCAGTATATTATTTATTGCAAGAGAAATATTGTGGTGTTCATTATTGTCGAAAACAAAATTATTGTGCCCATCTGAAAGTTATATTTCGTACTTGTGGAGTGAACACAACAATAAATATTTTCCTTCTCATTGACAGACCGCCATCTCAAAACAAAAGGAGGCGCGTCAGCTTTGCTATTTAGCCGATATCTGAAGCGAGAAGTACAAATTCGTACATTTGCCAACTATACTTTCCAAGTTAATATCAAACGATCGGCATAGCCAAG